GACGCGGGGCTCGAACTCACAGACCGCGAGATCGTGATCTGAGCCGAAGCCGCTTAACCGACTGAGCCACCCAGGCGCCCCAATACTTTTTCATTTTAAAAGTAAACTAAGGCATGTGGAAAAGTTTGACTTGCCCAAGCACTTACAGCTTCATGAATCAAGCTGATGTGACTCCAGAACCCAGAATTAACTCCTGAATTATAATGATTAGAAGCAAGAAATGTGCCTTATTTTACACAGTAGGTAACTAACCCTTTAATTGGTCATCTTGCTTCATAGGGTAATTTTAATCTTAATTGTGATTAAGTAGAAGATTAGATTTTTACAAGCTGATCATTGAGAAAGTTTAATAAACTATTTTTCTAGTTTATGAGTAAATATTTTAGCAATTTGAAAAAGGAGAAATTTTAGTGTTATAACTTTTTTAAATTGAACTCTGCCCAATGTAGGGCTTGAACTCACAACCCCGAGATCAAGAGTTGCATGCTCTACCAACTGAGCCAGTCAGGCACTCTAGTATTATAGCTAATGATTTAACTGCAGATAATCAGATAGATGCGTGGTCAAAACTATGTGACAAATTCAGCCATAAATTTAACCTTTGAATGGAGTACTGCAGTTTCTTATAGCTTTAACACTTTCATTATTCTGATCTGTTATGTCAGTTGTTCTAGATTATAAACCCTTAATCAATTTTTCATATGATGCTTTTTTTTTTTTTTTAATTTTTTTTTTTTTCAATGTTTATTTATTTTTGGGACAGAGAGAGACAGAGCATGAACGGGGGAGGGGCAGAGAGAGAGGGAGACACAGAATCGGAAACAGGCTCCAGGCTCTGAGCCATCAGCCCAGAGCCCGACGCGGGGCTCGAACTCCCGGACCGCGAGATCGTGACCTGGCCGAAGTCGGACGCTTAACCGACTGCGCCACCCAGGCGCCCCTCATATGATGCTTTTTAAAAAAATGTTTATTTTGAGAGTGAGAGTGCACATGCACGTGAGCAGGGTCGGGGCAGAGAGAGAGAGGGAGAGAGAGAATCCCAAGCAGGCTCCGTGCGTAGCGTGATGTGGGACTCGATCTCAAGAAACGTGAGATCATGACCTGAGCCAAAATCAAGAGTTGGTTGCTTAGCCAATTGAGCCACCCAGGAGCCCCTCATATGAGGTTTTGTTAGTAGTTCCTTGACTTTATTGACTAGGTATTGGGTACTTTTATTGCTAATTGGCTTATGAACAATTTAACAAATAGCCAAAGATTGAAACCATTTCGACTTGCTATTTGCGTAACAGTAAACCATGTTCAAACTCATGAAAGTATGTGACTAACCAGGCATTTTGTGCCAAGAATCCTGCCAAAGTGCCATTAGTTAACAGCAGCCATTGTGACACCTGAAGTGAAAGGTTCTTGAGTTCATCCACCATGCTAGCTTTCCTGTTAGGTCAGGGGATGAGGTAAAGTTATGTATGTCTAAGCATATCCCTTACCTCAGCAGTATATAAGATATTTATTTTTAAAGAGCAAAGAACATCTTATTTTTTTAAGTTTATTTATTTTGAGAGAGAGCAATTGGGAGTGGGAGAGGTGCAGAAAGAGGGGGAGACTGAGAATCCCAAGCAGCCTCTGCACTTCAGCACAGAGCATGATGTGGGGCTCTACCTCACAACTGTGAGATCATAACCTGAGCTGAAATCAAGAGTCAGACGCTTAACTGACTAAGCCACCTAGGCGTCCCTGAGATATTTTAAAAATGTTCCTTCACTCAGATTTCCCACAACTGTTCATTTTATTTTATTTTATAGTTTATTTGTAAGTGGCTTTAAATTCTAAGTCATATGAGTGGGTTACAAACAAAATAAATTTGTGTTTAAAAAATCTAATTGAGTGTTATGTTTATTTTTGTGTATAGGTCTTGCTATTTTGGAAGCTACAAGAAAAAAATAGATTAGGGGAGGTTTGGTCATGGCTCAGATATCCAACAATAATGGATTTAAGCAATGTTCATCACATCTGGAACCAACAAGAACAAAAGAAGTGGACAAAGAAGAAGCATTACAGATGGAAGCAGAGGCTTTAGCAAAACTGCAAAAGGATAGAGGAGTGACTGATAATCAGAGAGCCTTTGAGTTATCAAGCAACACCAGACAAAAAGCACAAGTTTATAACAAACAGGATTATGATCTCATGGTGTTTCCTGAAACTGACACCCAAAAAAGAGCAGTAGATATTGATGTAGAAAAGCTCACGCAAGCTGAACTTGAGAAACTATTGCTTGATGAAAATTTCGAAACTAGGAAAACACCTGTCTTGCCAGTTACTCCTGTTCTGAGCCCTTCGTTTTCAGCACAGGTGTATCTTAGACCTACTATTCAGAGAGGACAGTGGCCACCTAGGTTATCAGGGCCTTCCACATATACTTTACCTTCTATTTATCAGTCAACTTACAGCAGTAAACAGACTGTATTCCAAAATGGCTTCAGTCCAAGAATGCCTGCGTTTCCATCCACAGAACCTATATATTTAAGCTTTCCAGGACAGTCTCCATATTTTTCATATCCTTTGACACCTGCCACACCCTTTCATCCACAAGGAAGCTTACCTATCTATCACCCAGTAGTCAGTCCTGACATGGCAAAGCTGTTTGACAAAATAGCTAGTACATCAGAATTTTTAAAAAATGGAAAAGCAAGGACTGACTTGGAGATCAAACATTCAAAAGCTACAGTCAACAATTTACAGGTATCTCCAAAGTCTGAAGATATAAGTAAATTCGACTGGTTAGACTTGGATCCTCTAAGTAAACCTAAGGTGGACAATGTGGAAGTGGTAGACCACGAGGAAGAGAAAAATATTCCAGGTTTACTAGCAGAGGATCCTTGGGATGCTGTTCTTCTTGAAGAGAGATCACCAGCAAGTTGTCACCTTGAAAGAAAGGTGAATGGAAAATCTCTTTCTGGGGCAACGGTAACAAGAAGCCTGTCTTTAAATATTCGAACAACTCAGTTTACAAAAGTCCAGGGCCAAATATCTCAGGTATAGTCTTTTCTTACTAACTTCTCAAATGTAGTAATATAACACAGAATTCATGTTTGTGTACATAATTTATTAGGTAAAAGAAATCTTTTTCATGTTGAATTTTGTTTTCTTTATTCCTAAATGTGCTGTGAATTTTAGATTGTGTGGTAAAGGATGAAATGTGTTTAGGTCAGTTGAACAATTACTTGCTATTAATAGATTTTTTCTAGGATTATAAATTAAACTCTAATCAAGGATCTGGCTGTCACTGATAGGTATTTAAGATAATTTTTATCTCTTCATGTCTTCTCATTATATACGGTCCTACTTTCTCTTCATTATCTTTTATTTTCCAGGTTAAACCAGTAATTTTGGTTTTTAACCCCATTATGGAAAATTTTCCATATATTTTGTTTTTAACCATAAGTGAATGGAAGGAAAGGAAGGAAACCCCATAAAAGTCATTAAAGGACTCTCTCTCCACACCTATATTGATTAAAATGAAAAATGTGGTATAGTTGCTGAGTTCATATTGTCTTACTATCTGTAAAAACTAGTTAAGGGTAGCTGGAACAGGATGTCTTCCCTCAGATGAGAGGCAGCAGGATTTAGATTTTTCCTTTCCAAATACAGTATATCATTGCAGGTTTCTATTTTGCTCTTGTAATATCTGTGGGTCTTGGGAATGTTTAAGTTTCATTCTCCCCTTAATGCGAATTACATCATTCAGCTAATTAGACAAGCACTTAGTTACTCTTTAGGTGCTGGGAATCAACTAGCCTTTAGGGAAGGAGAAGCAAATTTTGCATGATTTTGAATGGGTGTATGTTGAATTGCGACTTTAAAAGCCATTTTGGAGAAAGAAGCAGGTAGTAAGAAGGCTTGGAAACACAGATGAGATTTTTGGATGACATTATCAGAAAAGAGAAAAATCTTAACTAATGGAATGTTTTATAAGTGGATTTTGACTACAGTTCACTAAGGATATGTTATTTTAAGCTTTTCAGTATTTACAAATTTACTCACATAATCTCTTAATACTTTCAATTAAAAAATCACAAGTTAATTGTATATTTTAAATTGATATCCTAAATATAACATCAAATTATTTTCTCTTAATATCTCTGTCATATTGTTGAGGGTTTTCTTTTTGTTTTTACAAAATAACAGTCATTGGGCACTTGGATGGCTCAGTCAGTTGAGCGTCTGACTTTAGCTCAGGTCATGATCTCATGCTTTGTGAGTTCGAGCCCCACATTGGGCTTTCTGCCCAATGCAGAGCCTGCCTCAGATCCTTTGTCCCCCTCTCTCTGTCCATCCCCTGCTTATGTTCTCTCAAAAATAAATAAACATTAAAAAAAAAAAAACCAAAATAACAGTCATTTCCTAAAGTATTTAAAAGGAGATGGAGAAACTAAGCCATGAGTCATCCACCAAAAAAAAAAAAAAACAAAAAAAAACCAAAAACAAAAAAGAAGATGGGGTGGGGGAAATATACCAAAAAGAACTGATAAATGTATATTTAGCTTTCTGAGGCACTACTCAACTTTCCCATAGTGGCTGCACCATTTTACATCCTATCAGCAATGTGTGAGAGTTCTAGTTTCTCCATATCCTTGCCAACACTTGTTATTTTCCATTTTCTGGATTATCACCATCCTGATGGATGTGAAACAGTATCACTATGGTTTTGATTTACATTTCCTGATGACTAATGATGATGAGTTATCTTTTCATGTGCTTAATTGGCCATGTATCTTTTTTGGAGAAAATGTCTGTTTAAGTCATTTGCTCGTTCTAAAAATTGGATTGTTCATAGCAGCTTTACTCATAATAGCTCCAAAGTAGAAACAACCCAAATACCTCATCAACTGATGAATGGGTAAACCCAAGTGGTATGTTCATACAGTGGAATATTACCCACAAAAAAGTGAAGTCCTGATATATGTTATAACATGGATGAACTTTAAAAACATAAATGAAAGAAGCCAGGCACAAAAGACCATGTTTTGTATGATTCATTTTATATATGTCCAGAAATGGCAAATCCATAGAGACAGAAAGCAGATTAGTGTTTTCCAGGGGTCAGGGAAGGAAAGAATGGGAATGATTGTTTAATTGTTACTGGGGTTTTGGGGAGGATGATGAAAATGCTCTAGAATTAGACCATTTCAGTCTTCTTACCATAGTGGTGATGACCACACAGCATTGTGAATGTATTGAAAGCCAGTGAATTTTATGTTCTGTGAATTTTACCTTAATTAAAAAATATATTAAAGGCACTAGTTCACCTGATCCATCCTGCTCAGGCCAGACCACTGCTGGATTCACATTTGAATCAGTGTTCCAATGGAGAGATCCCTCCCCAAACGTGGGTCTCCTTTTTATAGGCAAAGCATGACAGCATGAGGGGATGGTGTCTGACACTATGCAGTCTGGATTAGGGAAATCAGCTGTTTCAGGAGTTGTTTGGGAAGGGCAACTGCCTAGAACTTGGAAATCTCAGGAGCTATGGAAATTTGCAGTTTTTGCTATCAGAAAAAAGGCAGCACCTGGTCCTATAGGGAGCTAAGTGTAGGCTCAGTCCTCCCATTGGTAGAAGAGAGAGTCCCTGACTGTCCATACAACCCATCCAGGTCACTTTTAAGTACCCCTGCTCCTTGCATCACACTTTTGTATGTATGTATTCACATCTTTACAATATATGCATTGTGACCACAATACATAGACTATCTTGAATTTGATCAAATATTTATAAATGACTGGTTTATTTCATATCTGTGTGTCTCAAATTCTAATTTTCTCAGCATCAAAAAGTCATTTATCCACTAAGGGAAACATTATTCCAAGTGAGCTGAGATTACCATTTTAGGTGAATTGTGGTTATTATATTAGATAAGTTGAGGTTTCTGGATCAACTGGAGTTATTTACTGTCCAGTGATCCTGGATCAGAACTCAGAACCTGAGAGCTGCATTCTTTTTATCTATGTGTAGATATTCAAACTGACCTTTTTTTTCTTTTCTTATAATGGTCACTGAGACAGTAGAGAGTTCCTAAGAATCCTATGAGGACAGAGCAACCCATACCTATTTTACAATTGAGGAAATGTGAAGAAATTTAGGAATTCTTAATTTTTTCATATAATAATGGTATTGTAAGTTAAATGAGCTCTTATATTTTAGAGATGTATACTGAAGAATTTGTAAATGAAATGTAATAAATTATAGTTTTAATAGAAGGAAGAGCTGGGGATAGGTGCTTCTAGATGCAACAAGATTGGCTATATGTTGATAATTATTGAAGCTGTGATGGATACATGGGTGTTCATTATATTATTTTTTCTACTTTTGTATGTCTGAAAATTTCCACAATACATTAGAGGTTAGGAAGAAGACCACAGAACTATTTGTAAGAAGAAAAGCTGATGTTCAGACCCATGATGTGACTCTAAAATCACTTCCCCCACTCCATCCCTTTAGTGATAGAACATGCTATTTTGGAAGTAATAAGTTCCCTGTCAAACATGGGTTGAATAATTGGCTTCCCGAACTTAGTTGTATGTCACTGTGCCCTGAAGAGGAGTTTAGGCTTCTTCAGTCCTGATATTGTCTGGGGGTGGGAATAAGAGGTGAGATTTTGGAATTTGAGGGAAAAGATGACTTAAAAACATTTTTTTTCCTTCTTTAAGTGATTTTGATGCAGCTAACCTGCTCCCTTGGACTAGCATTTGGAACCTTTTGACTAGATGACTTTAAAGTTAGTTTCTCTGTATTTCAGAAGCCTGTGAAATTGGGAAGGTGACAAGACAAATAGCAAAACAAAAATTAAGTACCCTGGAAACCGTTTCTTCACAACTTAAGGTGCTTTTGCTACAAAATCCTGCTTCCTTTTCTTTCCTTTTTTCCGTCTTTAGACTGGTCACTTACAGTTCAACTGATATTTTCTCCACCCTTTCCTTTGGTGAGGACAGGGCTATGATACCCACATGCCTTTCTTTCATTGCTCCCTGCATACATCTTTCCCTCCTTATTTTTAATATTTGTCATAGTACCATCTGCTGTTAAGACATCTAATGCCATTCTATTTTGTAGAACTGCTTTACGCATATGGGTCATTTCAACATTTAATAATGTAATGCTATTTTCAGAGTCATTTAAGGCCTTATTTGTGTATTTATCAAGGGCCTTCTTGTGCTGTATGACATTTTGAGCTGACGTGTTGATCAGTAATGGCCTCAGTAGTTTTCATTAAACTAATATTTGCATAGCCAGCCTTTCTTTGTCTTCTTTCTATAAAACTACTGTATGGAAACCAACTATCAGTGTTACCTATTGCTAGATCTGGATGGTGGAATAGACTAGTTCTAGTCATATTCAAACATAATAGCATAGTCTGGTCCAGGTATGACAGATGCCAGATTTAGGGTTTGACAGGTTTTGAGAACAGTGTCAGGGGAGTATAAAAGTATAGCTTGATATTTAGTCATCCCCTGTCATCCATTGATGACCTTTAGTTTCTGAAATTCTTTGAACCTGATGAGAGGTTGTCACAGTCAATGGCTTTCCCATTGGAAGTTTAGATGCTTCTACTGGTAGTACAGTAGCTGCTACTGCTCCTAAAGGCAAGGTAGCCATCCTTGGGCTACAATGTCAATGGATTTGGAAAAATATCCTGCAGGTTTCAATTAATGCCCTAATTTTCATGTTAGGGGCTAAGGCGTGGCTTCTTTTTTTCAGCAAGGAATAGGGTAAATAAATGGCTTTTCTAAGTTTGGTAGAGGTAGAGCTAGTAGAGGGTAGTTTAATTTTTAGTTGTTGAAAGATCCCCTGTTGTTCTTTATCCCATTTTGAAGGCTCTTTATCTGGTCCTCTAGTGGCTTCATATAGAAATTTGGCTAGGACTCCAAACTCTGGGATCTGTAGGTGGCAAAATCTAGGCATTCCTGTAAAGGTTTGGAGTTGGTTTTATGTGACAGGAGGTTCCAATTCTATTATAGCTCTTTTTCTCTCGATTGGC